GAGACTGATATAGGATCCGTTTGGTTGTGTAGCTTTAAACATCTTGGGAAGTAATTTTATGTTGTTTGGGTATTCATTGAAGTGCAAACTACATTAAAATGAGATTTAAATGTGAATTTGGCCAACTTTAATTTCTAAAGTTTTTCAAAACCTAAAAGCACGTTCCTCACATTGACACTTCTCCCAACATTTATAATTACTTTACCTTCTCTACCCTTCGTTCTATCATTATCCTCCCTTACAAATTAAATTATAAATAAAATTGTAATGAAGACTTCAACACCAATTGAATTACACTCTATGATTAAAAAAAAAATCAGCCTTTTTCATATTTAAACACATGTTCTGATGAAAAAAAATTAGCTAAATAAAACAAAAGCAACAAATATTAATATATTCGCCACCGCAGTCAACTTTTTGAGCCCGGCAATAACATAATCACAAATTGAAGATATTTTTAGGGAAAATCTCACATAGTGCCTTTATAATCTAAAAACACACTACAAGTTCGAGGGTTTTTCTTGCAAAATTTTATTATGGATAAAAAGATGCAATTGCTTTTATCTAAAGGATATGTTCATGTATGTACAACACAATGTTCATAAATTTTTAATATAATATTCATAAACACACAACACATTTGGTGAATATAATTAACTGAAAGTGAAATATACAGGTAAGCAAATGATAAACAATATAATATTCATGAATACATAACACAATGTCGATCAATTCTCAACACAGTGAACATATGTAGAACTACAATATTTGTTCAACATAAAGTTCATAATGAACAACATACTTTCATTGAAATAACATACTTTCGATCAATGTTCATTAGATATGCTGTGTATTTATGAATATTGTGTTAAAAAATTGTGGACATCGTGTTGTGTATACATAAAGGGTAAATGTATTTTTTCATCCACAACAAAATTTGTAAGAATGGCCCTTGAGCTTGTAATGCATTTTTAAATTTTATTAGGTTTGCAGTGTAAATTTTTATATTTTGAGGGTCCTAAATAAAATTCTCCCATATCCTTTTAGCCACTTGTTCGAGGAAGTCAATGTCTCGATGCTTAACTGTGAGTTTCTGTGTGCGCAAGAATTTAATGCCCGGGGACTATATAACCTCTTCATCATTAATGGGCTGTTGTTTCTGGCCGAAAAATTAATGGGCTGTTGTGCTTCTGATGCTGATAAGCATTTGTTTTTGGTTTTGTTTTTTTGTTTTTCCAGAGGAATTGAAGCAAATGATGATCGTATTTTTTCCTTAATGGCGGCAAATTAAATGGCGGCATTTTTTTCTTCTTAATGACGGCAAAGAGTGACAGTTTCATAACTGCTGCCATTGTGTGCGGTTTTATTTGAGGAAAAATCATGAATAGGTTTTTTTATAAAAAAATTTATTTATTTATATATGAATCTCGTGAGTTTGAAAAATCAAAGTCAAATCCTTTGAAAGTTGTTGAGTTGCAATTTGTAAAGACAAGACTACGTCTATTAATTTGGCTCACTTATAATTGCAACTTCAAAATTTATAGGTAAAAATTTGCAATTCACAAGTTAAATTTTTTATTTAATGCTTAATATAATATCAAGTTTTCATGGAATTTATTATATCGATTTTAGGCTATAATTGATCAAATTGATCTGTAAAAAAACTAAAGTAATAGAACTCATTTAAGATATACATACTTAGCCTATAGGTTGTTTAAGGTTAGAATTAATTAACAAATTAAGCTATTGACAATTAACTTGGCTTTCACTTATAATTGCAACTTCACAATTTATAAGTGAAAATTTGTAATTTATTGCAAGTCAAATTTTTTATTTAACACTTGATATAACATGAAGTCTCCAATAAATTAGTTATACATGTTTAAAGTTATAATTAGTCTAATTGGATTGCAAGGAAAATAACAAAGCTCATTTGGGATGTACATATTTAGCCTATTGTTTTTTAAAGTTAGACTTAATTAACACAATTCTTGACAGTTTCGCTTTCACTGACAATTACAACTTTACAATTTACAAGTAATATTTATAATTCACAAGTTAAATTTTTTATTTAATGTTTGGTATAATATTGAATTAATTATACCTTCTTAAAGCTATAATTGGTCTAATTGGGATGTAAAATTGATAATTTACAATGTAATTATAGCCTTGAGTGGGGATTTCATGTTATATCAACCGTTAACCAAGAAATTAGATTTGTGAATTACAAATTTTTAATTACTTGTAAATTATAAAGTTACATTTGTTAACTCAGGCCAAATTAATTGGGATATTATTGTTTTCGCATTTCAACTTTAAATAAGTTTCAAAAGATGCCATTGTAATTTTTAAATATTATAAGATTTATTTATAAATAAATTGTATACACGAGACCTATTTATAATTTTTCTTTTATTAATCGCTGTCAATGACAAAAATTTAAGTGGGTGAATTCTACAATACTTACAAATTATTCACGATCAACAAGGTTCTCAGAACATCAACAAGGTTCAAATACAAGTTGTTGAAAGGTATGAATCATCTTCTTGCCAACAAGATTTCGAATCCACGCATACTCTTGATGGGGATCCATAAGTACACACCTACACATTAACCTTAAAGTAATAATCAATTCTTTGTTTTTCATTGTTTTTTGAAATGAGTAGATATTGGGCTCCGTATTTCGCATGAAGTCTAAGATGAAATATATTACTCCTTCAGGTAGAGTTGTGAAAATGGGTTACAGGTTAGCCCGCACGGTTAGCATTTTAGAGGGTTGGGTTAGGCCAGCCTATCAAGATAAACAAACTAGGAAACCTAACCCACACATTGGCAGGGTAGCGAGCTTGCGGGCTAGCCCACAAAATGCAATTTTATTTTTTAAAATGATTCAAAAATGTATAATCAACATATCATATATATAGATAATAATTTTTTTCATATTATTTTTTAAAATAAAATTTAAATATAAACCCATATTATTTTTCTCAATAAATTTATATTTGTGGTTTCAATCAATAGATCTTATGAGATTAACAAATAATATATGTTTAAAATATTTCTATAAAAACTAATAAGTAACTGATTTACAAACTATAACAAAAATTTCATTTGTAAATTGTAAGAAAGATTTATATTATCTTTTAAATGTAAAGAAGAGAAATATTATCATTATTGTAGATTTATAAGAAGATATATTATAATTGAAAAAATAAATTATTTTTTTAAAAAATAAATTAGCCCACAGGTTAGCCCGTTTTAACCCACCATTTTTGTTTTAAAAAATAGGTTAATTTTTTCAACTTAACCTACTAAAATTGGAGAGCTGAACGGGCTAACTCACGGTTCAATATGTTTTCCCGACTCTACCTTCAAGATCACCATATATGTTATTAGTAATTAATTCATATTTTACAAAAAATGTTAGTTAAAAATTTTTTAAATGTTCATATTTATACTTTATACTCTTGAATTTTTCGAGCAACACATGCATAATTTTTAAATATAGAGCATTTGAAGATGAGGAATAAAAAAAGAAAGAGTATAAATAGTAAAAAAAACATAAAATTTATCTAATGCCCAATATTTGAATCAAAAAGATATTTCTAAAAAGTGACTTATATTGCAGTCTTGAGAGAATATTTGATCATTTATATAGATAATGTGACTTTCTATATAAATTTTACATGATGTTGTAATTTTGGATATGAATATTGTATAATAATATATATATCGACATATTATATGATAAATATATTGACACACACATTTGCTCCTCTAATTTTATTTATTGGGTGGAGAAAGAAAATTAATTTTGATCTTACTTGTAAAAACTTTATTATTTTCTATGTTTATCTTTATATTCCTACCTTTTTTTTGTCATTGTAAGAGGGTTGAAGTGAAGATTTATTAATTTTGAAACAGATTTAATGAGATTTAAAGTTTTTTTAGTTCTAGTGAAACATATTTGAAGTGACTTATAAAATGAACTAGAGAAAATATATTGATGAATTAAACGATGATTTAATGCTAAAATAATTGGAATACAATTTTAATTTCTGTCCTTCGGTGAAAATGTGAAGTCCAAAACGCAAATATAAATAATATTAATTAACCTTTATATAATTGTTATTATGATGGTTAGCATGCTTCAAACCTTAACAAAAAATCCTTTGCTTTTATTGGTTGCATGAATCTTAATTTGAAAATATGTTACCAACTTAGGCTTTATTATGCCAGCGTTAGGATTTTCCCAAAAATAAATAAAAAATACATAGGCAGGTCCTGGCTTCTTAGAAATTGGGCCTAAAAAAAAAAAGAAAAACAATGTAAGAAGAGTTTTTTTTTTTTTTTTGGGGTCAAAAGGATGATGAATAGAAATTTAAGAACGTACATTTCTCTAATCCCGTCAGCATGGATATTTTTGGAGTTTGGGCCAAGCCTGAAATTCTTGAAGCCATTTATCAAAAAGGTGATAGATTTTTGGAAAAATTCTTCCATCAATTAGAAATATTACCTCATTCATACTTTATTTAATAAAATTATATTAGTTCAATTAAATAAAATATAACGTGTCATTACTTTTTAATGAATTTAATTTATTTGTAAAATAGAGTTGCTCTTCAATTTTTTGCCTTTTATTTTCTACCATCCTTAATAACAAAATCAATTTATATTTATAGTCATTTAATATGACATGTTTTTACGGGTAACATACAAATGATGTGGTGCATTGAATTTATACAATAATTTTTTTATTTTTTATATTAAAAAAGATTTGCAAGATCCTAAACTCAAAACCATGTTGTTCGAATAATTAATCCTTCCCTTATGTGACCCCATTGAGCACTTTGCTTTGGTCTTTTATAGAAACATATAACACTAACAACCTTTTATTCTGCTCATAATCATATTATAATATTATATATATAATATATATTGTATATTAAGCCCATAGGATTGAAGTGTTCCGTGTCTTATTAGAATTAATATTATGTCGTCTAGCGCTTCACTCTGACGGTGTCGATGAACCTTCCCTCTGAAATGTCATGGGACTTGGAAGATATGAAATCGAGATATTCCTGAAAGCTGAACTCGCTGTAGAACTTGGGTCTGTGATCATCCACAAGTTTTGGTGCTGGACCTACCTTTGACGTTTTTCCAAAGCCATGAAAGCTTCCGATAGAGAGCCTCTTCACTTTACGATTCACAGTTACTCGGTGAATCACACTCTTGCACAGTCCATTACTTACTATTTCCATTTGATCTCCCAGTTGCACCACCAAAGCTCCTTCAACAAATGGAACCCTAGCCCAGTTGTGGGCACTGTCCTCGAATTCGAGCCCCGGTCCGGTCAGGAGCAACACTGTGAGCAACCCGAAATCCGAATGAGGCAGGATTCCTAAGGTCTGTTCTGGTTCTGGGCAAGCTGGGTAACAGTTTAGAGCCAGGACTTGGGAGCCTTGGACGTCGAGTTCTTCTTCCAAGTAATTAGGGTTTAGCCCTATGCTTTCAAAAACTGTTTCCCTCAGGTGCTTTTGTAGCACTAGTGTGGCCTTTGCAAATTTTCCCATTTTCTCCCTTTGCTCATATAATGAAAATTTACATATTTTAGTAAGCTTTATATATGATGAAGACGTTATAATTTAACCTTGAAATACAAACAATCTTCTTCTATTAGACTTGATTTTCAGGGGTTTGGGACTTCTAATATCCCTTGTTATGCTCCATTCTAGAAATTGATTTTTTCTTTTTTTCCCCACTTGATCATTAGAATATTCTGTATAAAATGAGAGGCATTCTAATATCTTATGATGATGAAATGGTATAGTTTTTTCACGAAATTTAAGAATAAATATGCAAAAAAATTGGCATTTTGTATTTAGTTTTTTTTGATAACATAAAAAATTTAAAATTGTTCTGTCTTATTACCATAAGATATGAAAATATTTCTCATTTTATATAAAATCTAATTATTAAAAGTAAAGGGATAAAAACTATTGGAACATTGTAACGGTATTACAAGAAACATTAGAGAGATGGGCATTAGAGGCCCGGCCCCATGCCCAATATTTTGAGTAGTGTTGAAAAAGTACTATTATGAAAACAGAAAGATGGAAGTCAAATCTGAAAAACGAAGGGGCTGACAACACTTTAAAAGGCAAACGATTGAAGTTGCAAGCATGGAACTGGGTTTAATTTCATTTGTGAGAATAATACTATTATTTGATTGATTAATATAACTACAAACCTGTAATTTGGTGGATTTGAAGGCCACAAATGGATCCAATCAGACAGGGGATGAGAGTAGAGTTTGATGAAGTCTCTCCAACAAAGAATTTTATCCTTTTCATGATTAAAGCTTGTATCGTACCTCACCGGTTTGTTAACATCTTCAGAGTATAACTTCATCTTTTCCTCACTGTGCAAGTCAAAGAACTCTGTTGCAGCTTCCAGGGCATCGTCCATTATAGATTGATCAATCCCATGATTAATTACCTTAAAACACAATAAAATCAAGTCAGTCTAATCGTGTATTTGAGCCATGAATAGTGAAATACAAGTGTAGGAATTTGATAATGAGAACAAGTCCAAAGGATAACTCATCCCAAAAAAACTAGTCTATTAGGAGGAAGAACCCCTCACACTTACAAGCCCATCTTTACTTACGAGACTTCCTCATATGGGACTCACAACAATGCCACCCAATTTCAGTGTTGATGCCTCTACGTTGATAGCTCTACTCCATGACACATCACTCGGTCTCCTAGTTAGTCAGGACCATCAGGTAGCCCTCTCTCTATCTTGATGTGGGTTGCGAAGCGGTACCAAATCGAGGCAAACTCTAAATACTAGATATGACCTCAAAATAAGAGGGGTCAAAGTTGGCAAGTGAGACAATGGGGGATAAGCTTCATCATCGAGAGGGAAACAGCCAGGATAACCATAAGGCTCCTAAATGATTGCTTAGTGCTAGAGGAGGTAGGGCTATAGAGGCAGTTAGGAAGTTTGCCAATAGATACCTACCTTTGAAAGAGTGCGTAATAGCTCAATGTTTGAGTGCTCTTGCGTCAAAGATGAATGGGGCTATGTGATATGTTGAAATTGTGGGATATAAAAATGCATCGGTAGGGGAGCATTCCATCTTAGAGGACTCTTAATGATAGCACCAATATCATGAGCACAAATCTAAAGGGAGATCAACATCCCAAAAAGATTAGCCTATTAGAAGGGGAAAGCCTTTCACACTTAAAACCCATGTCACTTTATAAGATTTCTCCATGTGAGACTTGTGATAGGAAGCAAAGAACTTGGAATGCTTTGACAACGTAGGTTATTCTAGTTGGTGGCCATGCCATTGCATGAATACATTTGAACACTAATAAGCAAGCTAAGATCATTCCAAGCAACAAACAAATTTAGAGAACAGTAAACATACAGCTTTTTGACGTGGAAACTAAATTAACAAAGCGTTGGCGATTACCAGAAAGACACCAAGCTCTTGGCAAGCAGCTCGAATATCATGCAAGGTTCGAGATCTAAGAGACTGATCCTGCAAGGAAGATAAGTCTATAATGGGAATTGTGTTGGAGATCTGAACATTAGGGTTTGGTTGTTGTGAGGATGGAAGAACGTAGCGTTGAGGTATTGAAGACACTCCTTGCCGATCAAGCTCCATAACACAAGTAAAAGACGAATCACGCGTTGCTCCCACAGTATTCTCCATCGATTGCCTCACTGATTGTTTTATATATTGTGAATGTCAATGATACGGTTAAGCACATACTCTTGAGCCTATTTATAAGCTCATGTGCGTGGTGGGTGTATTATTATGATCGAGAATAAGTTTAGATGAGTTGAATCCTGAGAGACCTTAAGATCAAGACATGCCTTTAGATTTAATGAACATTTATAGAGATACTTACAAATCATTCATACTAACAAAGTTCTCACACCGGTGGCAATATTGATACCACAATCTTGTGGGTTATAGGCCAACTTTTTACCAACTAAACCAACCTTTGTTGATTCATGGTAGGTGTATTGTTATTTATATATGACCACATTCAAAGAAAATCAACCAAGACGCTATATTCATATAAATTTACCCAGAATTTGTTGTGATATATATATATATATATATATAATCACTAGCATTCTTACCAACCTATTATCTTTCATTATTTTTCTTTTTCATGAAAGGCATCATGCCAACAAATTCTCCATTTTCATTAGAGTTGGGGGGATGATGTGGCACAATGATCGTGGTCATTTGAGCAGCGCATGGATAAGGTTGAGTCATGAGTGCTACGGAAGATCAAGATGGAATTATCTCAATGGAACTAATTAATAAAGTAATTAATGGTCAATTACAATCTTAATTTTGATTCATATTAAGATTAACTCACTGATGGTGGGGATTATGGTAAGGGCAAGGGGATATATTTTGGTATCAAAGCCAAGTTGTTTTTGACTTTGTAGTTGAGTTGCATCATGCATTAGTACTGGCAAACATTATTCCCAAACTACTTCCCTTGAACTATTTAGATAGTAGAATTTATATTTTAACTTTCTATTAGACTTGATTTTCTTTTTGGTAGAAAGACGTCAATTTAGAAAGAAGCATTTCAAAAGTAAATCAGGTTAGAAGGGACAAGCAACAATATTGATTAGCTCAATACTAAAGAAACATAATTAACAAAGTAAATTTCGAAAGTAATAAATTTTTTAAGAGAAAGTTAGATTTTATTAGGAGGGGTAGATTATTTAGGACGAGGACCTGTTAGTACAGTGAGGCAGCAACTTGTTCGTTATACAAAAATCTGAATTTTGGAAGCATGGACTTTTTATCACAAATAAATTTATCTTTATTCTCTAGTTCAAACTTTCCCACGTGATGCCACTGTTGGGAAAACCTTTTTTTTTTCCTTTTCTTTGTTTGTTATGTTTTATTTTAATTAATTGACTTTTATTCAAAAAAAAATTTTGAATAACATACATCGGCAAACATTTTTATAGAATTACAATTTTGTTTTATTAACATTCAACGATTTTCTTTTTCATAGAAAATATTTGAGGAAATTATGGATTGACAAGCCATGTATTTTGTGAACATGCATATCTTTTTACATTTATAAATTATATAATAATTTTATAAATTAAAGTATTTATGAGACTGTTTAGCCATTCAAATTAAACATTGACCTTTGAATCATTCTTAAATGTTTGAAAATTATCTGGCTAAAAAAAATTGTGCAAAAATTTTATTTTCTCCACAAATTTTTACAAACAAAGCAAGCTATGAATGGAAGGCTGAAGTGGAGTCATGTTAGGAGGATGCCGTGTGGGGGAATCTAATTAGAACAATCGCCTAGCATTTGGTGTTTTGCTTTTGAGATTATATAGGGGAAATAATAAGTAAATAATTTAGAATGTAAGAAATTCCAATTTAATTGCAAAATAAACGGTTGAATGAAATTTCTAAAACGAAAGGAGCAAAGTTTTCCCGTGGCATTAGTTGTAGAAATCAGAAAAATCATAAGTACTAACGTGACATGCTAACATAATGAGGACAAATTGCCTTTTCAATATAGATATGTTAAATAATAGAGTAAAATATAGTGGTATCACTTCTGTTTTGCTTAAATTACAGAGACCTTTCCTCTATTTTTAAAATCTACATTTTAGTCCAATTGTTAACATTGTTAGTAATCTTCCGTTAAAGATTCTAAAATTTTTAATTTTTTAATTGTAATTATGTTGAAACTTTTAAATTTATTATTTTAGCTTTATAATTGAATTGTATACTCTCTGTCTCCCATCAAATTTTAAAAAATTAAATAACTATGTCGATATTTAAATAAATAATTTTAAATTTTGTGTTAAACTAATAAAATTAAAAAATTAAGTTATATCATGTAATTTATTGTAGTAAATCCTATTACTTCATTAATTTTTTAACTGTTCCTTTATAATATTATTTTTGCCAAGTTATGTATTGAAATTTTAGAAAATGTTACTATATAAATATGTTTACATTACTAACAAATTAAAATATAAATAAAAAGTAGAAAAATATATGCATTAATTTTGTTGGTACTTTGAATGATCTTTAGATAACATTTATATTTAAAGAAGAGTATCTTAGTCCAACAAATATAACTTAATGATCAACTAATAAGTGGGCGGATGGAAATGAAATCTTAAAAATAGAAAAAATGTTTGCATTTTGCAACTATCTACACTTGGGAAAGATCCTATAGGTTTCTAAAATATAAGGGGGGTATCTGTAATTAAGATAAAATAGAGGAGAGATCAGAGTATTTTACTCTAAATAATGAAATAAACTTTGCTAAACCATTGCAGCTAGGACAATAGTTGTTAGAAGTAGAGGTTGATGGAATTGAGAAAGGGATTATAAGCTTTGCGGGATTAAGGGTGATGTGCGTAGCTTTATACGTATGAGAATCTAACCAAATAGGTAAAGCTAAGGAAGCATATGTTGTGAGGTTGGCAAAAATATAATTGAGGAAAACTAATGTTTTTAAAGTCAAACTAGATATTAAATTAGAAAGGTCAGCGGTTCACGATTTGTATGGTCGAAACTAGTGACATAATAATTAAATTTTAAAAATTATATATGTATGTAATAATCTAAATATAAGAAATAAATATGAAATTGCTATTTAATTTAAAAAAAAATCAAATATTTTAAATCTATCATGACTTAACAAGCTACATAATGCAAAAAAAAAATATAAATTTATATATATAATAATATATTATATATGTTAAATAATAAAAGATGAAGGAATTGGGTGTGGGCCTAAGAAAATTTAATATACCCTAGAACACACGCAAACATGTACATTTCAATTCCTCTTCCTCTGCGGCGCGGCCGAGAGTGAGTGTGAGGGATAGAATTTTGAGGTCTAGGCTTTTATAATATAATTTTTCTGGAGTGAGATGAAGCTTTCTAAGATGAGATAGGTGTTTTAAATTTTAATTTCTATCTATTTCCTTAGTTTCTAGATTCTTGGAAGTAGAAAATTTAAAACGTGATCTATTTCAAATTTTTGGGTCTTTTGGCTGATAAAGGACTACTCTAGTAATATATACCTGGATCTACTTCGAGGTTTTAGGATGATTAATATCTTAGTATGAATTTTATACCAAATTTGAAGACTTTAGAGTAAGATTTAATGCTTTGAGTAAGGATTTGAAATAGACATAGGTTTAAAATTAAATTGATGCTTTAGAGTTATAAAAAATTAATTACAAACAATTATATATATATATATATATATAAAGAATTCTTATGGGTGGTGTAGATTGACTTAATCATGTTATTAAGGAGACCACGTGTTGTTTTTGCTAGTTTTTGAGAAAAGAGCTAACCACATTTATTTACTTTGTACACTTGATTGTATGGTCGGAATTTTTATTTATGCCTAAAATATTCATTTAATTATAGAAAAATATTTTATATGTATAACTAAGTATAATAGCTTGCACTGATATTATAGAATTTTATAAATTATTGAGTGGGACTCGTACATGTATATATGTTCTATGAATGATGGCGTGATTAAATTTTTTTGGGAAATGATATTATGACTGGCTTGCATAGGTGGAGGTTCCATGATTTTGATCACGTGATCTGTTTCCACCTTGTGAACTGTGGTTTTCCATTCTTAGGATTTTGGTATCTTACATGGAGAGAGCTCTTGGGACAGGACACCTCTCTGAGGAGTTGTAAAGAAAGGGAGCTTGTGGTTCGGTGGTGAGCCTTGATCCTTTAGTCTTGCTACAGCTTGCCATTGATGATCTTGGTGAAGTCTAGTTACATGAATGAATCCTATAAATTGTGATAGCTCATGAGTTCAGTCCAAGAAGTTTGGGATGGAATTTCATGCATGTACACATGATTTTTTATTTATGTATATTGAATTAACTTGTATTTGTGAAATTCGGTCCACTCAACTGACTTTACAGCCTGTTTGGATAGCATAATAGTCGATTATTTGAGCCAAAATAATTAATTTTAACAAAATTATCCAAACAACAAATTTATCTAATTGATTATTGAGCCAGAATCATATTTTGAAATAAGCTCTGGGAGATTGCTTATAAATTCAATTTTACTATTAAATAATATATTTTACTTTTTAAATAAAGTTTAACAAATTTAATAATATTAAATACAACTTTATCAATAATTTAATTTAAAAAGCAATATCATTTATGGTAATTTATACAGCTAAAATCAATTTCAGTATCTAAACGAATTGCGTTATAACATCATCAATTATAATTAAAATCAATCATATTAACCAATTATTTTCATAATTAATTATACTCAACTGAAATTCAAATGGGCCTTTATTCGCCCTAGTATACTCTATAAACATTTTGTGGGTTTTAGGATTTTTGAATCTCATTATATAATTAACAAATATTTCATGTGAGCCTAATGCAGCACAAGGGGGAAGTAACCAAAGCTTGAGGCTTAGCATGAGCAAAGCCTTAAGCCCATTCTATTTTAGTTTGAAAGTATAATGTTTTTGCTAATTTAGGACTCCTTTGCAAATTGAGATTATTTTATTTAATTATTTATTATTTATTTATGATTAATTATTTCAAATAAATATTTTATTATTGAGACAGTTATTGTAAAATAAAAATTTGTGCTATTGATTTGAGTTATGCCACGCGTATCTATGAGTT